ATCAATTTCATTCTCATGTTAATTCTTATTTGTGCAAATTTTATTAACGCAGGTCTACGTAGCCTTTTGGATGTAGGTATGTTAAACATTTCTTATTACATGTCGAAGTTTGGTTTTATGTGCAATATATTTTTCTTTTATGGATTGGAGATTTGGATTTTTATCAGAATTTTTTTATCAGAATTTGTTATCCATTTCTTTTCAATTTTTCCTTTAAATTTATTTTTAGTTAACTTTCTGTTCTCACTAACAAGATTATCGAGTTCTATAAAATATCTCAGACATCGCAAATGTTTATAAACTTAGAGGGTGACTGTCTAAAGTTTACTTCTTGAGGTTGATGTTGAGTCGAAATTGCTAACGTCAACAGTTAAGCTCTGAAGAAGCCAACAGGATGATTGGCGAAACGTTAGCAAGTTCGACTCAACATCAACCGACGCAAGAGGAATCCAGAAGTTTTGTAAATAGTATTACAGTAGCCTGTGGAAGTTTCTTTGAAAAATCTAAACTATTTATACGCTCTTAATAATTATAATGATAATTAATAATTCCATTAAATTATATGCCGCGTATGCACAATATTAGCTACATGCTACAGCATGTATACAAGAAACCCAAAAACAAAACAAAAACAATGGATAATTACGACTGATCGACAGTTTTTAAATGATCTTATTGACCTGAAGTAGATAGGTTAAAATTTTTATCTGTACAATAGCACATCCCTCGTCGTCTCTTAGCGCTGATTGTATCTGTTAAGCTATTTTTTTTATAGCTAGTGAATCCATGGACAAGCATTTTTAATCCGGTATTCAACTTTGATAAATTTTTATGAAGGTCTAACCACAGGCATACCTCGCATTGGTTTCTCTTTGTAACCTTCAATTAATTGATTCGCAATTCCACGATGACGTTCCAGATTTGTGTAGAGATTTATCGGTGAGATTTCTCGATTGTTATTAGTCCATACAGTGAAAATTCCATTCTTACTTTTAAATCCTCTCAAAATACAACAGTCCGCCCGGCATAGGTCTTGTCGGTTAACATCTTAAATAGGGCCTGTTGGTCCCTTCCGCCTTGCAACAGGCGGGTTTTAAACTCATTCCGCAGTCAAAACCATAAAAGGTTGTAAAAACAGTATATCGTTTGGTTAACTCTAATATAAAAATATTTTGAAAACATCATCGGTTGGGTTTCTGGCATACCTCAAACTCAGCTCATCAGATACCACCTATCATTTACAATTTCAAAAGTCCCGTAGCTCTCCCCGATCGGTCCAGCAAAGTCGAATCCAACTGGAATATTCATTTAACCGTAACGGGAACGATAATAATGGAATCTTGCCGGCCGGGCGGATATCGAATACCGAATTTGCGAAATATATTAGCCGGTAGGGGGGTTTTCGAGCGCTGCAACCCTTTCTTTCCCCCAGCGACGGTGATTAATAAGATATTTAATTAAGAGATAATGAAATAAGTGCGTTCGAGAAACGCTCGACGCTAGGGGGCGTGTCGGCGCCGCATCCCGACCTAATTAAAAAGATAGAAACTTAAAAGTTACGGGGCGCGCGGAATCGAATTAGCGCCGAGATATAAGAAACCCGAATTAAACGTAATCGGAGCGCAAGAGGATCTTTGATGTTGATTTTGCTTAATCGACGGAACCGAACGCGTTTATAAATAAAGCACGTCGGAATTAAAATGTTATCTTTGAGTTAGGACTACACGATTACGTCGCGCCTCGAGGTGCCGAATTCGACTGTCGAGTCGTGCTCGCATGTTAAGAAAACACGGCAAAAAAGTTTTCGCGATAAAATGCCGATACGAAATGCAAATTCATAGATAGTCTCATACCACAAAGATCTACATTTACACCTGCTACCAAGACTAAACAAGCGGCCATTATTTGACTAGAATCACCAGCTAATTGCTGATTTCGAAAAATCTTTCGATGAAATTCTAACCAGTCATCTTACACATGCCCCACGACATGACTGCCATAGTTTGGGAGTGTATTGCTGGGGTGATTTCAAGTTAAAAATGTCAAATGAACGTATACCCGGAACGCTATTCTAACTGAGCTACAAGCATTTGAATTTTTTAAGACCATTGAAAAGAAGCCCCTTTATGTTTAATTTTATTATTTATCAAAAATTCTTAAGAAATATAACTTTAAAACCAGAATTACCACTTGTGGACAAATACAAAATTCCGTTTGAGATATCAGGAGTTTACAGCACTGCATGCATATGTTATAAATAATGCATTGAAGAGACCGGAAGAAAAATATCAACTAAGCTCAAAGAACATGAAAGAGCTTCAAGACTACTACAAATAAACTCATCAGCAGTCGGCGAACACTAGCAAGAAACCGGACGTCCAATTTTATTCGATAAAACTAAAAAACGCATGTAATCAACCCCAACGAAAAATCCGAGAATCCATAGAAATCTATAAGCAATTAGGGAATCAGTCATCGAATACAATGTTCCTGCCTCTCCTTTAGCTCTGCCTCCTCAAACAATATATTCCTAGGTTCAGAGTTTCTCTAAAGAAATCAACAGCATTAATAGCGAAACGTCAGCAAATTTGATTTATAAACAACCGACACAAGAGGAGAAAATTTGTAAATAGTACAGTAGCCTATGGAAGTTTCTTTATTGCTGCAACACATACAGCCTTAATATGATCCAACGACAACAAAAATATGATTTCATGACTGGAAAATGCCTTTGAATGATGCTTGATCAAGCACAACTTGCTGCTCTGAATAGAATAGCCAAATGATATAGGCTTAATATTTCCAGAAAGCTAACAATAACCAATTTAAGAACACACTGGAAATACAAATAGGAGACTGGAAAAATACATTTGTGAACAACCCTGTATAGTAATGTATGACACTGTGATCAAGACAAGCAGACCAATAATCTCATACATAAATTTAAGCACGACGGAGTCAGAGGAAAGCTGCTACAGTTTATTGGCAGCCAGTATGCAGCAGAGTACCACATGGATCCTTTGCTTATAATGTATCTTAGTGACCTTTATCGCGAGCCACTCTACCCTTTGAAATCATCCGATCATGAGGACTTGGGACTGAAAAATACCGTTGAATGATACTTTATCAAGCACAAATTACTGCTCTGAATTACCAAAAAATTTAGGAGTAACCGCTGCTGAAGCAGGGAGGGCATATATCACGAATTACTAACAAAACAAAATTCATTAAGATAAAAATCATTCAAAGATCTGTCAAAAAGCTGTGTAAGGCCTGTATTAGACCTTTCATGCTAAATAATGCAATTTATGAGAACCGTTTAAATGCCCAAAACCTTGCACGACTGAGAGACCCCAAAATAAGAAATTTAATTAAAACATACAAGATTCTTGCGCAACACTGTTGCTGAAATTTAAACATCTCTCTTAGAATTCACCAACTTAGGGAGACACGATAAGGAACTGGGAAAACTGAACTGAATCGGAAATGAGAATTGCTCAGAAGAAACTTATTATTAGTGGTTTAGTTCAGTTAGTTTACTACTGGAACTGATTATCAAAGTCAGGGGAAATAGATTTTTCTATTCCCTTCAATATTTATACAATAATAGTGTAACAATATTTAGTTTAAAAATGTGCGTAACAAAATTTCCCTTTGACTTTTAAGCTGTAGTTAATTCCCAATTGACCAATATTATTAATAACGTCAAATACAATATTTGATCAAGTTTCAATGAGCAGGGACATTTTCAAACATTGGTTTACATTCGTACTGCAAATATGCACAAATTTTAGTATATATTTTCAATAACTAAAATCGTTGGACATTATAAAACTGTACATTACTATTTTTCTGTACTACAAAACATTCCATTATACAGCGATAAAGAGTCACTTTTAAACATCAGCTTTATTATTTTTTCTGACAGACATTCTTGACTTCCTTAAGCCACACTGGGAGTTTGTTCTATCAATCAACGCTACCAACGAACTTGTTATTCTGTTTTATACTCAATACTCTTGAAACATACATTCACTTAAACAAATTAATAGTTAATGACTCAAAAACCAAAATCATTTCCTTTAGGCGGGGTGGTCCAAATCCTCCTAAGAGGTGTTTTTCCTAAATAACAAACCTGTTGAAGTAGTTAATCATTAAGCGTTTGGGAGTTCTCTGCTTCGTTTTTTGCCCAACAGTTCAAGGTCCTGGAATTAGCATGTTCTGTAAATCTGAACTTATCTGCTGGAGAACGTCAACATGGGTTTTTAATAGTACAGTTGTCAGTTGTTTTTTTTAGCAGTATTGCGGCCTGGAGTTTTCGTTATTCTGATGTTATTAGTTTCAGTAGGTGTTCTGTTAGTATCGACCGTAGTATTAAATGCGCATTACCATTTAGTGATCCTTGTTAGAGGAATACTTTTTTATAAACAATAAATAAAACTAAATTGAAACTGTCGTGCGCCAATTCAATCGCGGTAAAGCCGATAATTTTCTCTTTAATAATTTAGAAGCTGCCAACACGTAAAATGTCAAATGGGGCTTCGAAATGCACATCTCAAATATGCTAAAATATGCCATGTATAATTTGTGTTTTGAATATGTTTTTGTTATTGTATTGCACCGCATAAATATTAAAAGGTTGTTGGTCCCCAATGGATATAATATGAATATCTGAATATATTGAAACCAACACCCACAGGCGGTCCAACTGGAACTAGAACTTAAACCATTGCAAAAGTTAGGATAGACATTTTGCAAGGGAAGTTTTCGATATAAAGCTACTCCTTTATAGACTTGCGCAGAATATAATGTTTTTAACAGCATGAAGCAGTCAGAATTTGGATTATATAACGTTATATACTTGTAAAATTGTGTTCTAAGGATGAACCAGTATTTAAGTTTGAGAATAAATGGATCTTAAGTTATATGCGGAATACACGGTTCAACTCATAAAAGCAAAGTGGGCAGAATCATTGATCGCAATGCCTAAAGGCACGTACCTATATTGCCCTCTCACTGAGTCTCCGTTCCTAATTTCGTGCTGGCTTTTCGAGTCTCCGGTATGTCCATCTTGAACCGAGTAAGCAAAACTGTAGATCGGTTGATGATCGTACGGTTCGACGCTTGATTGCACCACCGGCACCGAAGATACTACCTAGAAATTTACACCTTAGAATTTACAAATTTAGAGGAATTTAAATATACTTGTTGGGCTACTTGTCCTATTGCTATGGCCGGTTGCGCAATGGCAATTCCGTGGCCTGCACCTGCTCCTATTCCAGCTCCTAGTCCTGCACCTAGTCCAGCGCCTAACCCAGCACCTATTCCTGCTCCCAGTCCTGCGCCTGCGCCAGCTCCTAAACCTCCGATAGATCCAACACCTCCGGTTGAGTAACCAGCATTTAATATGCCGGTTGCTTTCACCAGAGAAACGCAGGCAATTAATAAAAGTACCTGCGAATAAAACAAGTTCCACTCATATTGCTTAAAATGTGACAGACTTCCTTTTTAATATGGGTTATTCTGTCAATTCGGAGACCTGAAATAACAGCCATAAAAAAGAATGTCATCTTCACCAGGTTTGATTTAAAAAAAAAACCTTTTCTATCAATTAAAATATTCGGCAAATCAAGATTCTTGACTAAATAATTTTGACTAAAGCCATGACTGCAAAATGCGAAAACTTTTGATATCCTTGAAAGTTGGAAATATACAGTTAACGCAGAGAAATATCAAGAAATACTGGAAAAAAATTTCATTTCAAGCATTCAAGAATTCAGCAGAGAAATTGATTTTTTAGCAAGGTGGCGCCTCATACTGCTCAAATTATCCGAAAACCAGAAGGATGTTCCACCTTATTAAAGTGTTAAATTGCTCTAAATATTATAAAAAGTTACTCTGGCCGATCATAAAATTTTTAATTGTTCCAAATATTTTAATTTTTTTTTTTGTACTCCGCCATAACAAAATACTCAGAAGTTGTTTTAATAATTTAAAGCGAGGATAACAAAAGCGTTCCAATTTTTTGCATTCATGACTTTAGTGAAAATTATTTAGATAAGAATCCACAAATTGGTGGAATATGTAGTTTTAGTGCTCGTATTAAACACCTTGGACACTTTTATACCACTTACTTAGCACAAAGGTAATTTTGAAAGACCCGTAATTTTACATGTTACAGAAAAATTATTTATAGCAGATAAGCAGTATAAAAATAACCGCAAAACCAATTGAAAACGTCATATGTCAATTATGCAATCATAATCTCAATTTTCAATAGTTATTGCTATTTGTTCTTGAAAAAACCATGCTTAGTGTGTTTTTATAATTGTCTCGCTAACATCTGAACTTAAACTTTTCTTATAATATTAAAACTATTGTAAGAGCCAAGATTTATTATAAACTCCGTATACATTTTCGTAAACATGATATTGTTTTTAGTTTTCTTTTATTACATTATTCTGGTATATCTTGTTTTAATTTACTTTTTCAAAAATATTTTTAAAATTTAGCCTGGGCTATGGTATATGAATAAAAACATTTTTTTTAAACATGGAGGGTGTACACCTAACAGAAACATAGGTGCTAAAATGTTTGGTTGTCATTAATGTTACTTAATTTCATTAATATTAATGTCTTCAAGCAGACTTTTGACCTTTTAGAGTATTGCTTGTAGTAATAATTAGAATCCTCTCAAATATTGTTGCAAGTTTTTGTGATGAATTGTGGTTAGTTTCCTGGACTTTAAAAAAGAAAGTTTGACCTCGACAATTCACTACGCATGCTTTTTCTAAATAAAATTGGCCCAGAAATGCACCTCTGAATTAAGTACATACTAATAACATTTTTGAAATGCTGCATATGTTTAATATATTGTAGGATATTGTGCAATAAGCGTGGCAAACGGCAATTGAGTCACAGCGGAGCGAGCGTTTAATAAACGAGTGACTTAAAAAGTTTACCAAACACAAGAACACATTCACTGACGATACCATTAGAATTGGCAAACGTAAAAATTCAAGTCGTGCGGTAAAATATCCGAAAACATCTAACCTTTGCGGTAATATCCCGGAAATGTCAGAACTGGATCGAATCCGTGGGACAACAAACTCTCACATGGTAAAGTGTCGTTTGCCGAACGCTAGATCGGTAAATAATTAGGTATTTTAGCATTAGAACCCATTAAACAAAGGCGGTGGCAAACCGACACTCCTTATCTACAGAGTGGAGAGGTTTTTCGATTACAAGCTCAGACAGTTAATAGGAAACCATTTTTTATAAATAAAACGAAAAAAATAGCAGAAAATAGTTTTTAACATAAATTTATTAGTACTTTAGCTTTTTAAACAAAATTTGGTAGTCATATATTGAGTATCAAAAGTCACTTCTTGCAAAAAAGATTTTTTCAAAATTGGCATCTGCGAGCGAATATTAAAAATATTGAAAAAAATCTAGAATGTTTGTCTGTCTTGCCATATTGTGTTGAAGGAGACAATTTTCATAATAACTCTCTACATTTTTTAAGTGCCGAAATGCAGTGAAATCATCCCCAGTAAATTTCTTTAACATAGAAGTATGATTTAGTACTTCACCATATGAATTTATCGATTTCGAACTGCATGGTTCCGCCGACATTTCTACTTATGCTTCTTCGAGTCTTATGAGTCGTTTAGACTATCTTCTTCAAATGGGTCTGAGCTCTATATTCAAATTTGGAAATGTGTCAACGGCGTCTTCTCCTCATGTTGTTATATTACCGTTTCAGTTCATGAAACTTTCTATATTTTGGGGATCAGTTGCTCCTAAATGCATGTCTCCATAACTTCAATAATCAATTTGTATAAGTTGCATTCACTTTTTCTAAATCCAGCTTTGATTGACATTGACATTGATCGTTTTGTATACTCAGATAAACTTTGGACGTCTTCCATTCGACGACTTCCAAGTGTCGACGAATAAATTTCAAATTTTGAATGATACCTCCATTCTCCAAGAACAAAAGAACTTGCCCTTTTTCGGTCGAAAACCAGGTAGCTCCAAGATCCGTAATATTAACATTTTTTAAAGCACGGCTTTTCCAATCACCAACAGATCTTGTTTGTCACCACATGTATTTCCACAAAATAAAATAGTTAGTCTTTCTTTAGACAACTTTCCATCCACACATTATCCTCATTTGTTGTTCACATATGTTGCTGGACAGAGTTTGTCTAGCAACAAATACGAGAGTTTATCTAAAAATTGTTCAACATCAACTTCATTTAATGCAGCAGCTTCACCAGATATGCATTTAAATCTGATATTATGCCTCCTGTGCCACTTTTGAAGCCACTTGTCGGAGCCACTGAAATTTTAATAACGTATATTTGTCGTATTTTCTAGTTTTTTTTAGCTTTCGTTTTCACTAGCAGTCCTGATATTGGAATGTTCCGACTTCAAACTTGCGCAAATCCATCTTTTGTCTATATTAAAACTTTCCTTTTTCAAAAAATCCTTCTTTTGATTTATATTATTTCCATTTACTTCCGATATCTTCCTAATTCTAGTTATTTCAGCTGCTTGTAGTTTCCCAATAATAAGCCTCTTTGTCAAATCACGAAATGAAACTCTTTATCTAAGAAATTAACAACTTCCATCTTTCTCCTTAAAGTAAGCATTTTTTTTTGGTACCACTTAACGTTTACATTCACAAACTAACTCTAATAATGCCGTCCCGACTAAAGACAAAATATAAACATCAAAGTCCTTGCGTACCTAGAAATAGACCCACTATAATAAACCAAATAAACCTGCTGTTTGGAATATGCTTTAGTATGAGTTTAAATTTGTCAAGAGTGCTGACCTTTTATATGCGTAGCAACGGTTAAACAAGAGCAACGTGTTCATGCAGTCGAACTTGGTATAGGTTTAAATTAATCACCTTTGCAACTGGAATTTTCACATTAATCGTTTTTAGCCATTTACGTAGCGTTTAATTGTATTAGCTTGATGCATACTACACCTAAAAAAGCCGCTCAAGTTATCGCTTTAATCGAAAGTTGTTGCTCGCAGTTCGAAGAGTATGCCAACGGTATGAGGAGACTGGATCATTTGCTAAGCGCCCTCCCTGGAATAGGCAGAAGGTAAAATACAACGGCTCGAGATGACCGCTTTATAGTGTTAACAATAATAAGAAATCGCCACCTTAATGCGGTGCAACAGCTCCATTAAGCTCGAAGAGTGGCTATGAGTCAGTGCACAGTGAGAAGAAGACTGAAGGAAAATGACCTGAACCCAAATTCAACTGCAATTGGACCAAAACTTATTGGAGCTCATCGACAAGCACACCTACGCTTTGCACGGGGTCATCTGAATTGGACATTGAACCAATCGGGGTCCGTTCTTTTCTCAGACGAGATCAGAATATGCCTTTCTGGTAGTGACCGATGAAATAAAGTGCACCAGAGACCGGGAGAGCGTTTTGCAGAATGCTGCAATGAAGAGCAGAGCTCTCATGGAGGTCCTTCCTGTATGATATGGGGTGCAATTTCTATGGACGCACGAACCGACCCTGTTTAGGGGCGGCTCTAGTCAAGGGGCAGGAGGTTCAAGAGGTGTTAGGTACATAGAGGATATTTTATCAGATCACGTCGACTATATTGGATAATAATTCATTTTTATGCATGAAAATACTAGGCAGCACACTGCAAGGATCATGCAACATTACATTACATAAGTGGGTATCGAGTTATAGAGTGTCAATCAATCAATCCGATCGAACATTTATGCGATGAACTAAAACGGAAAATTCGAGCTAGATTTCGTATTGTGACAGTAGAGACTTAACATTCCAGAAGAAACAATATCGAACTTGATTAGATCTACGCCAAATCGAATAAGATATGTTATTATGGCAAGGGGGAGGGGAGGTCATACACATTATTGAAAAATAAGTGTTGAGTTGCTAATTGTCAATAACCCTATTTGGTTTTAGTAATAAAAAAAATCATTTAACTCGTGCAGTTATTTTTCTATGCTAAAACTCGTACTAAAGCATATTAAATTATCTTTCAAACAGCATTTTTTTTATCTGATCAGTTCACAATTTGCTGATATTTATGCACGCAAGTATATATGACGAAATTCGGTTCGGTTCATTAAAGCTGTCCTCAAGGACAGCTTTCACTGTAATTGCTCTAAAAATAAAAATTAAAAACCCATCGAGGACTATGTTTTGGTAAAAAATGACGCACTGTGTTACACATAAAATTTGAGTCTGGAGTGTAGAACTTGCTACAATCGAATTTGCTTTTTGGTTTGAATTTTTAGCAAGTTATTTTCACTATTCCGTCTTAGTTGAAATATATGGAAAATCGATAGAAATTTTAGCCCATTCTGAAGCATTCTTTATTTCCAAAATGGCACTATAAAGTTTGAGTTTGGAGTGTACAGCGTGCTAGTATAGAACCTGCTTT